TCCTCTGACTGAGAATACCATATTGGGCAGGTTGAACAAACAGGGATTTATTCTTGTATAGTTTAGGAGGCTAGAAGTCTTAGTGCAAAGTGCCAGCTAGGGGCTGGGTGAAAGCCCCTCAACCTTAGGCTTCAGCTCTGCCTCTTGCTCCCAGCCCACTAGAATTGGAGGTGTCTCTTCACTGAAGCAGCTGCTGGCTGTTGAGGCTGACAAGGCCAAGGTCAACAAGTAAAATGACACAGTCTCAGGATTATCATACAGCACTGCACACCACTGGTTCGAGTCCAGGAATAATCCTAAAATAAGCAGACAACATGGCAGGCTGCTGAATGAAGACAAGACTACATGCAGGGTCAAAGCATGCCAAAAGCTCCAGAGACCTTTCTCAATGCTTCTTATAGAGTGGAAGCAGACCACATCCCTAACATAGCTACTCAGCTTCTCCAGGAGATGCCACCATGGAGCTGATTACCAGTCTCATCATGGGGAATAACTACATCCAGCTGCCCAGCCACTCAAAAACAGATTCAGCCAGGTTGACACACAACCTTACTACCACAGGGATTAAAGCATTAGGTGGTGTGACGGATTTAATTGTGTCCCCCCAAAGTATGTTTTGCAAATCCTAACCTCTAGAGGTATGGATTAAGGAGCTCTGGTGGTGGAATGCCTAAAATGTCTGACTGCTAACCAGGAATTGGCGGTTCACGCCCACCATCTACTCTGTGGAAGGAAGATGGGGCAATCTACTTCTGTAAAGACTTACGACCTTGGAAACCCAATGGGGGTTGCTTTGAATATGAACTGACTTAAGGGCAGTTTTTTTTTTTTTTTTTTAGTACCTTTGGAGTAACCGTATTTAGGAATGAGTTGTTTTTATTATGTTAATGAGGCCGTATCAGTCTAGAGTGTGTCTTAAATCAATTTTTTTTTAAATTAACTTTTTATTGTGATTTGGGTGAAATTTACAGAGCAGATACATTTTTCATTCAACAGTTCATACACATTTTGTTTGGTGACACTGATTACAAACCCCACAAAATAACAGCTCTCTTCCCATTTCCTCCTTGTGGTTACCTTTTCCCTGTGGCCTTCTTTCCTATGTATTTCTGTCTCCTTAGGTTTCTCTCTGCGTAAATGCTGTCCTTCTGATCCCCCCTAGTTGATTGTTCTAAAGAGTTCATCTCTCTGGTGTAATTGTTCTCATAGGCCTATCTAAAAGTGATTTAAATCAATCACTTTTGAGATATAAAAGGAGCAGGACAGTCACAGAAGAAAGGGAATATAAACGGAGAAAGACTGATACCATGTGGAAATCACAAAGTAAACGAGGAACAGACATTGGAAGGAGACAAGGACCTTCTAGAGTTGACAAAGAGAGAAAGCCTTTCCTTAGAGCTGATGTCCTGAATTTGGACTTCCAGCATACTAAACCGTGAGAAAATAAATTCTGATCATTAAAACCACCTATCTGTGATGTTTCTATTTTAACAGTGCTAGGAAGATTGAGCCATCTACTTCTGGAGTGATACCGCCTCAGAAAGGAGGCGGTATCTATGAGTCGGATCCAATTCCAGGGCAGTGAGTTTTTTGTGGAAACTAACACAGGGCTAAAGGATTGTTAGCCTCTTTTCCAACTTGAGGACCTATGATTTGAATTCTGTTGGGAAAGGTTATGCTGATTACACCATAAGCTTCATTTAAATACATCAACTAAATTCCATTTTGGAAAAGTTTAGTAATAAATTTTTACATAACTGTTTCTGTTCAAGCACACATTTCATTTGATGTTTCTCCCCAGATCTTCCTTCTCCCTTCTATCTCCACTCCAGAAAGCTGATGATTAATATCTCCATTTTGTTGTAAGGATACATAAAGTTTCAAAAACGTAGTAGCAAATAGTGAGTTGAGGTCAGCCTCAGAGATGAGAAAAATATTTCTGAGATTCTTACCATCAACTGTGCCAAAAGTAAATGCAGATTTGATAAATGACACAAAGTCATTACTTCTCCATTTCCCTTTCTGCTGCTTCGATTTTTACAAGGGCCCAATTTTCCATGGAAACAGATCTGATTTACAGCAAATACGAAGATTGCATCTTTTATTTATAAGGCAAAAAAAATCTACCCAAATACTTTTCATTAAAATTGGGTTCCCTGTAACACTGGCTTTCAGTGCATTATTCAAACATTACAAAAGTTTTGTGACTCCTGTGAGAAGGACCTTGAAAGTCAATCGCAGCACAGTTATTGAGATGACCAGTTCTGTCCTTGATTACTTAATTTAGTTTGATAATGAAGTTTTAGGATAAAGTTGTGAGATACGTGAACCAATACACATGCTTGCCATCCTTCCTCCACTCTGCCTTCTTCCAAGAGGAACATCTTTTGTGAGATATTCATAGGCAGCCTTGGATCAATTTTTAGGAAATTACAGAAGTAGGGAAATAATATGCTAGTAACCAGTAATAATAAGAATGCAAATATAAATTACTTATTTCAAATCTTTTCACATTCAGTGAGAAGGATATTAGAAAATTAACTAGATAGGATAGGACTAGGCAATTACACAGAATGGTGGGATAGTTTGGCAAGTAAAATGTAGAGCTGAGAGTGCTGTTATTGGGAGGGCACCCACACACCAAAGGAGCTTAGAAACAGCCCTACCCAGAGGAAAGACTGGGTATAATTTTTCTAAATAAATGTCAGCTTAATGGGAGTTCAAGAAGCCCTGGTGGCACAGTAGTTAAGCAAGCACTCAGCTGCTAACTGAAATGTTGGTAGTTCAAGTCCACGAGCTGCTTCACGGGGAACTGGTACAGTAGTATGTTGCAACAAAGATTATGGCCTTGGAAACCCTATGGGCAGTTCTACTCTGTCCTATAGGATCACTATGAGTCAGAATTGACTAAACAACTTTTGTTGTTGTTGTTGTTAATGCACTGGTGGCACAGTAGTTAAGCACTTGGTTGTTAACTGAAAGGGCATCATTCTCTATCCTTTAGGACCATTACAATTTGGAATTGACTGAAAGGCATTTTTTTTTTTAATGTATATTCTTATGTTTTCTACAGCTTCAAGCAAACCCTGCCAGAAAATGTTGTTGTTGTTGTTGTTATTGTTATGTGCCGTCAAGTCAGCCCTGACTCATAGCGACCCCTCCTTGGGTTTCCGAGGCAGTATCACTACGGAAGTAGGATTGCCCAACCTTCCTTCCGAGGAATGGCTGGTGGGTTTGAACCGCCAGCCTTCTGGTGAGCAGGCAAGTGTCTTAGCCACTATGCTACCAGAACTCCCAGAAAATGTAGTCATCCCTATATTTAACTCCAAACATTTGTCTCAAAAAATGTGAAAAAGCATGTAAGCAAGTACAAGGATTGTAAGGCTGGCACAGGACCTGACAGTGTTTCATTCTGTTGTACACAGGGTCACTATGAGTCAGAGCCAATGTGACAGCACCCAACAACATCCTGAGCAAAAACTGCATGAATGTATTTACTATCTGGAGGAGTGATCCTCAGACTTTAATGTGGGTACAGATCACCTGGGAATCTTTGCCAAAATACAGATTCTAATTCAGTAGGTCTTGAATAGGGCCTTAGAGTGTTTCTAACAATCTTTTGGTTGATGCTGATGTGGTCCACAACCACACTCTGAGTAGCTTTCAGACATTGTTGGGAAAATCCAGCTTTGACAGGAAATCTCTTCTCTCAACCATATTCCCTCCCACTGCCTCTCAAGTTCTCTGGTTCACAGATTTGAGAAAAGTTTAGGTCCAAACGCAGTGAATACAAAAGAAAACAAAATATTCTAAAATTATAATCTCTAGTGGAACAATAAGATTTTTTAACTTGTCTCAAGAGTAGAGACACAATTTTTGATATGCATGGAGTATGTATAATTCATGTACATCAAAAATTATGTCTCTATCCTTGAGAACTTAAAAAATGGGAGTTAAACAATTTTCATGCAAATTATCATATAAATACACAGTGGCCTGTCTATCTCTTTCCATAAATGAAGTTCTATATATGGAGAACTTAAAAGAAGTTTATTTAAGTAATGCATGCATGACACATCATCATGTTGTCCAGGTATCTCTAATAACTTGCTTATACTTTTAAGTTTCCAGAGATATATTTTATAACTATTTTTAATTGAAATCCTTCTAAAATTAAGTTAATAAAATGTGTTAGGTAGTATAAAACAAAGTTTAACCTATCTGCAATTATCTAGAAAAAAAAAAAAAAAACAACAACTGACCACCATTAAGTCAATTCTGACTCATAGCAACCCCACCTTGGGTTTCCGAGGTGGTATGTCTATGGAATTAGATTGCTTAGTCTTCCTGAGGAGTCACTGGTGGGTTTGAATCTCCAGTCTTCTGGTTAGCAGTCAAATGCCTTAAGCACTACAGCACCAGAGCTCCCACTGTTGTTATGTGCCATGGAGTTGGACTCGACTCATAGGGACCCCTCCTTGGGTTTCTGAGGAAGTATCACTACAGAAGTAGATTGCCCGACCTTCCTTCCGAGGAGTGGCTGGTGGGTTTGAACTGCCAGCCTTCTAGTTAGCAGTCAAATGCCTTAGGCACTATGCTACCGGAGCTCCTAGAGCTCCCACTAGGGTCAACAATTATTCTATGTCATGGCATGACAATGCTACAGGAGCTCCTGAGACCTATGTGGACTATATGAAGTTTCAAAGCTGTGCCTTTAATTTGGAGCAGCCTGTATATCTCATTCCTCTGTAATCAGCTGCCACTTCACTTTGCTCTCTGATTGTCCTTCCCTTACAATTCCTAATCCACTGCTTCATTTTTAATACAATATTCTGGGAAAGATTCTAAGACTGGCTCCCTTCTCATTTCTATGGTTTAAATGCAGGAGATCTCTTTCCAAAGAGATCTCTGAATCATGGTTACCTGAATGAATGTAATTCCAGCATACAGAAGTCACACGAGTTGATTAAGCATTGCTAATATGAATACTGAATACTCACTGATTCCAGTGTCCTTACAGTACTGGATCAAGTACTGTCCCATGACTTTTAGTAGATGATTGTATTCCTGGACATTGAGAAATTCCTGTTTATTATGGGATGGTTCCATGATCTCCAGTGGTATATTAACAATTCCAACCACACCTGCGCCAAGTCTGGCAGAGTAAATGATAAATAAATTTTGAGAAATTTAGCTAATTAAAAATAAAAAGCAAATATATCCTGATACTTTAAAATCAAATTCTTCAAAACTAAATTCATTCATTTGGTCTAGACCAAAGTTTAACAAGGTAGATGACAACTACATACATCTATGGTTATCCCAGGTTGTTTGGTTCCATAATGTAAAGTCACTTTAACAAATCAGTACTGAATTAACATGATTCCTTGTCCACATCTACTACCTTAGTGAGGAGAAAGTTTTTCAGCATAAAACATCAGTAACAATGTCTTTTACAATAAACATACATGATCTTTTTAATGATACTAGTCAGAATAATTTTCTTTGTCCTCATTTCATCTGTCAGGTTGGATTTTTCATCATTGCAGAGGTCCACAGGGTACTTATGAATTCTACTAAGGGAACAAAAAGGCTGGATTGTCCCAGAGGGTAATTAAAAGGTGCCTGTGTGTTAGCCTGATAGCTACGCTTTTTTCCTTTTTTTTTTTTTTTTTAACTTTTTTGGTTTTGGGCTCTTATGATATACACAGTGTAGCTGGAACATACAATTGCTGTATATTTTGCTTGGTGACATAATCAGTTTTGGAAAAGAAGAGTATCCAGGAGTCGAACCTTTCAGGCCGAGACTCTTCATTGCCCTTGGCATAGCACACAAATCAAATCTTCATAATTTGTTGTCTCTGCTTCCTTCCTTGGTTGTGTTTTCACCACTTTTCCCTCTCAACCTTTTGACTCTCTCTTCATTTGACTTATTATTCTTTAAGCCTAAATTTGTCATCTTCTCTTTCAGGAAGGCTGACCTGTCTTCTCCCCAGATTGATTTAGCTACCCCTCCTAAATACTCCTTTTGCACCCCATGGTCACCTCCAATAGTCATTCATTCATTCATTCATTCATTCAACTAAGCAGCTGGCCCTGTTCCAGGTACTAGGGATAGAGTGATAAGCAACAAAGACAGAGCCCCTGTTTATGAAGTGTCTCTTCTATTGGAAGATGACAAGCATACTCACTGCCATTGAGTCAGTTCCGACTCATAGCCACCCCTCCTTGGGTTTCTGAGGCAATATCACTACGGAAGTAGATTGCCCAACCTTCCTTCCAAGGAGTGGCTGGTGGGTTTGAACCACCAGCCTTCTGGTTAGCAGTCAAATGCCTTAGTTACTACGCCACCAAAGCTCCCACCATGAAGCTAATAAAAAAATACATGAACATAATCATTTCAGATGATGAAAAGTGGTATGAGGAAAATGAAGTGGAGCTACAATGTGTGAAAGAGTGGTAGGTGAATTGGGGGGTGAAGGCAGGGGCCAATTTTAAATAGATAGTCAAGGAAGAACTTCCTCTGGAGGAAACTTCAGAGCTGACACCTGAATAACATGTTGGGGTCAGTGGTGAGAAGAGCTGAAACTAGAGGGGATAAAAAGTGCAAAGGCATGAAGGCAGGAATGAGCTTAGAGTGTCTGAGGAAGAGGGGATGGGGACTGGTGATGGGCTGGGGGCAAGGGAAGCATTACTCATAGAAGGGTAGAGGCCAGACCAGAAGACCATGGTAAGTACTTCTATTCTAAATGTAATGGGATTTTAAGGAGAGGTATTTTGAATGATGTCTTAAAATGTCATTCTTGGCTCACACAATATACAAATGTGTGTTATCTATTTGTCCCTTCCACTGGGCTGTAAGTTCCTTAGCAAACAATGCAAGATTTCTACTATTTTGTCTCCAAAACAGTGTGGACTCCTGGACAGAACCAGGAGCCACTGCCAGAAGGGACAATGCCAAAATGACTGCCTATAAAATTTTTGTGCAATGTTTCAGCAGAAATTTATTATTTTTTATAAAAATACACCTGTAGTTAGTTATAACAACAAAAATATTTTTCATAAGCCCTGTTTACATGTATCGATATACATACAAGGCTAAAACTCTATGCTAAATTACTTTTGAATCTTTGAATGTACTCTGGTCAGAACTGTGATTATTACTCAATTACAATGACGTTTTGAATCACGTGTATTTTTCTGTATACTTTGCAAAAACATGCTGTTGTTTTTGTTACAGCCAGAGTTTTTAGTCACTGATTTTGTCAAAATTTCTGGTGTTTTAACTACAATACTGTGGTAATTAGTATTTGTGAAATTATATCAATAACTTTTTTGAGAATGAAGTAGTAAAAGAAAGAGAAAAATGGAAAGAGCTTCTGCTCACGTATCAATAATGTAACTAATCATGTAGAAAGAGTTTACAAAAACAATTTTATTGCTAATATTCGTATAATCTAGGAAATGTTACATTTAAGCAATTTACAACCATATATATATATATAGTTGTACATATATATATCACATATTATTTTGTGATTAAAATTAATAATAAACATTACTAAGGATTCTGCATGGTCTGGTACAGAAGGAGGTCCATAGCAGGGGGCAGAGGGGATTACACCATGAGTCACCGCACTGGGTGACACCAACCCTAGTGATGGCACTTCTTCAAAAGAAATGCTTGCTGAATGAACAAATGAATGAGCTGCTAATTTCTTGAGAGTGAGGAGCCAAAATGAAAAATGGTCCACTGAGCTATTCTACTGGTCACAATTATCTTATCTGTCTCTTTGTGCTTTTCTAAAGTCTCTCTTCAGTACTCTACATAATTCATGAAACCAGCTTGCAGTGTTTCAGACCACTGGGAAAGCACCAAAGTGTATTACTCTGGAATCCAAACAGGCTGGAGAGTGTTGTTAATAACATATGCGTATGCAGGTAACTGGCAAGAGCTCTTGTAAGCAGTACTAGTGGGGCTGCTCTACAAGACTATGGATCTTTCCTTTCTAAACATTTTTAAATATGTTAGTAATGTTTTAAAATTGGCAAAGTATTAAAAATTTAATGCAAATAGATGGTACAAGGAATGGTAAAACATCAAGTTGCTCAGGAAATGCATTGAAGAAATTTCCAAACGACTGCTTTTTCCTTAGAGCATGCCTATAGCTCCGTGGAGATTATAAATTAGACAGATTAATGCCTGTGCAATGACAGTAAGGGAGAGCAGAAACTGTCACACCTGCTTCCATTATGATTAATCACTCATCCAGTTCCACACATAGAATCTTACTGCAACCTCCCTCTTCCTGTCTGCGCATCTGAAAATAAAAGCATACTTACAAGGACTTGAGTTTCAACTGGGGCCCCACTTTCTCATGCATTTTGATCAAACGGCTATTACTGTAAATGAACATTCCAGCCTGGCTTCTATTTTCTGTACTCACACCAAAGAACAAGGTGAGCGTTTTTACTTTCTTTAATTCCCTAGAGTTACATTTAGGAAAGTTAAGGGAAAGAAAACAAACAGTTTTTATTGAATAACAATATAAAGTTATGAAATGACTAATAAATTCAGAAGGCAGACATCAAAGGAATAATCTACAAAATACCCATGCATTTTGAAACAAAAAAAATAAGGTATACTCAGTGTCTTTGCATAGTCAAGTATTCTGAATAATCATAATGGACAATAAACATATCAGCCAAACATAAGCATTCTCATATTCAAAACCAAGTTTGCCAATTTAAATTTACAAGAACTTGAAAATGCCAGGAAAGTTCTGAAATATTAAGTGATCCAATCTGCACACTGCATTATTTTTGAGAAATGATGATTCACCTATTTTAAAACGTAAGTATTTCTAAGACAGGGTATGGTTTCTAACTTTCACTGTGCTCTTGAGCTTCCAAATATCCTACATAGTTCAGAATCTACTGAGAAATATTTTTAACTTTTCTCTCTAAACTTTTCTAAATTCAAAGGTAAATAAAAGTTAATAAGGCAAGCTTACAAAGGCAACAAATATGAACTCCTATTTTTCTGACTTTGTCCTGCTGAACTAGGTTTTGTGTGACTTTATTAGAAGTGCAAAAACAGAAACTGAGAAATAGAGTATGATAGAAACAACCAAGTCACAGGAGGCTGCTTGGAGCTGGATATACCATGAACACAGTCTCTGGATATACCATGAACACAGACTCAGCTTTAAATGCAAGCTCATCTTCTAATAGCTAGATGACTATGGATTGGTTGTTCAACTTTTCTCAGTCATACCTGAATAACAGGAATAATACCTCCTACCTAATTGGGAAAGAGTCCCTGAGTGGCAAAAAAATGTTTAAACACTGAAATACTAATCAAAAGACTGCAGTTCAAACCCACATAAAGTCACCTTGGAAGACAGGCCTAATGGTCTACTTCTAAAAAGTTACAGGCTTGAAAACCCTATACAGCAGTTCTACTCTATACACTTGGGGTCGCCATGAGTCAGAATCAACTCAACAGCAACTAGCAACAACAACTTACTTGGGTTGCTGTCAGGACTAAAAGAGATAATGTTAAATATAAACCCAGAACACACTGGGTGCTTGACAAATGTTATTTTCTTTCTCCCACCAAACTTGGAAACCCAAGGAGGGGTAGCTATGAATCAGGTCTGATGGCACATAACAACATAACAACATAATAACAATCTATCCATCATAGAGCACCCTGCCCCCCCAAAAAATGGCTTTCTTTTTTTGTTGATGTAAAAACCCCCCGACTACATGCTAGTATAACTGACATAATATACTTATTGGATTAATTAAATACATCTATCATTAAAGGACATTGATAAATTTCTGTCAGTCCTATATGTATGTAATATACAGAGTATATCAGACTTTCCCAGGAAGTTACCGACATGGGTTAAGATATTAGATGTTTATTAAATCTAGTACATGTAGGGTTAAATATATATGGATGAAAATTTCCTCAAAAGTCTCTATACAATAATTGGATCCCAGCCGTTAAACATAAAACTGAATATGTAAGGGACCCCAGACCAGGGTGTTACAAATAAGACTCACTGCCATCAAGTTGGAGCCGACTCATAGTGACCCCTCCTTGGGTTTCTGAGGCGGTATCTCTACAGAAGTAGATTGCCCAACCTTCCTTCCGAGGAGTGGCTGGTGGGTTTGAACCGCCAGCCTTCTGGTTAGCAGTCAAATGTCTTAGGCACTACGCCACCAGAGCCTCCCAACCGGGGTGTTAGAGCATGTGATTTAATCATTCTGCAATATTAAATGGCATACTATCTTCTACATTTTTTTTAAAGCATTTTGCTTTAGACGAAAAGTTCATGCTAATTGGCATTATTATTAATAAAATGTAGGCTGATTATCTTTGGTACACATCATTATGATTGCAAACACATACTCAACAGGATTGTTCTTTCTGAAAGCTTGAGAGGCCTTTTTCAATAAAAATATGAATATTTATTTAATATGTATATTGATAAATGCATAAACAACATTTCAAATTTAAGCTTTGAGGAAAGATCTCTGGAATTGCATGGCTCACAAAAATACTGAAATTTAATCAAGTGTCCCGAAATATTAATTTCTCAAAATTATTGCATAGTTTTGAAAGTCTGACCTTACTGGATCATTAACAATTGTTTTCGGTTTAACTTGTTTATCACCAAAAAATGAGAAGCAGATAAATTTACAGATGTAAATATTTTATTTTACTGATAGGCCTCCTACTTTTATTTTGTTAACTATATATAAGTGATACATTTACTTGAAACATAATTTTGTTTATTAAATGTTAAGTTGCTAAAGGAAGAAGGAGACCAAGACCTGTTCTCCAGAGTTGAAATGGCAAAGGACCTGAAGGGAAAATGAAGCTCTCAACTGATACCTAGGCAGTTCAGTTCATGCACTTACCTTCATCCAGATCAAGCTACCAGATGCTGGACTAATTTTTCACTCATATTCAGAAGTTTTAACATATGTAGACACAGTATGCATGCATGCAAATATACACTTTATAAATACTTCACATTGATTATGTTAGCTAGGGGACTTTGACCCACCAGCCACTCCTCAGAAGGAAGGTTGGACAATCTACTTCCATAGTGATACTGCCTTGGAAACCCAAGGAGGCGTCGCTATGAGTCGGGTCTGACTTGACGGCACATAACAACCACAACAACACCACTTAATGTCATAAGATATTATAAGTGAAGAAAGAGACATTGTCAAAATAACCACAAAATCTGCCTACTCAGAAATCAGAATTTGTTTTAACTTAACGCAGAAGACACTTGGAAACAGAAAGCTATGTCTTACTTCTGTTTCTCTTTAAGAGTCTTATGCTTTGCTTCTACATCTTCCATAGCTTTTTGTAACACATTCTGAAGTTCATTTGACTAGGAGAGAACACAACGCCATTAAATTAAACAAAAGCCAAGTTGACATTTATTATCTTACATCCTAATGTTTCAAGGGGAACAGTGATAGGTCATGTGGACTAACAAGATTGTACTACCAAATGCATTCAATACATATTTGATAAATGATTAAGTTCAGATATCTAAGAGGAAAAATCGAATCCTAGACTACTGTTCTCTTTTTGCACATATTCAGATGCACTCCCAATGTTCCTTCTACGAGTACCACATGCTAATCGATTGCCCCACTGGAACTCCCCACACTCTCTCTCTCTGGCTTTTGGAGAAAGAATCTCTACTCTCTGTAATGATACAATGACTTTAGGGAAGTCTTTCAATCTATGTAGGTTCTATCCTTTGTTTTTGAGAGCAGGAAGTTCCAAATATGTGTTCATGAAGGTTTCTTTCCGGGGGAAAAAATATAATTAAAAAAAAATTGTTAGGAGCTAAGAGAAAACTTCTCCCTCCGTATCCAGTTCTCAATATTTTTTGTACTCTTCAAACTTTCCCATTATAGGACACCCCAATCCTAGGTTTTCTCTCCTTCAGTTAATACCCCTTACTACCAATGGGCTCTGGTAGCATAGTGCGTAAGGCACTAGACTGCTAACCAGAAGGCTGGAGGTTCAAACCCACCAGCCTCTCCTTGGAAGAAAGGCTGGGCAGTCTACTTCCGTAGTGATACTGCCTTGGCAACTCAAGGAGGGGTTGCTATGAGTTGGGTCCAACTCGACGGCACATAGCAACAACAGTATATTTCTTATATGATCTTATAATTTAATGTATTAGCTCATTCACTCCCTTATCTTTAGTATATTCCCTCTAGCCAGGCAAAGAAGACATAACTCATTATTATTCTCACAAACAAGAAAGGACTTTTGGTGTGCTCTAAATAACTGGTATGTAAAGTGTATTTATTTATTTATTTTTGATTGAAGGCTATTTTTACTGACTTTCAAGTAAAAGAAAATGGTAAATGGCTAGTAAGTTTCACACTTCAAATTCAACCACTGAACTGCCTGGAGGAATTTAAGAGGTCAAAAGCTGAGGTCATTTGGCTTTGCTCTTTTCTTTAAATTAAAGAAACCAGTGTGTATCTAAGGAGCTCTGGTAGCATAGTGGCTAAGACACTTGCCTGCTAACCAGAGGGCTGGCGGTTCAAACCCACCAGCCACTCCTCGGAAGGAAGGTTGGGCAATCCTACTTCCGTAGTGATACTGCCTCGGAAATCCAAGGAGGGGTCGCTATGAGTCGGGGCCGACTCGACGGCACATAACAACAACAACAACAACAGTGTGTATCTGAGCCACAAAGCAAACTGGTCAAAGACTTCTCCACCCTTTGTGGGTGAATTTAGTTCACAGAGCAATAGTCATAGCTATCAGGCTGAGGGAAGAAGAATGCAAGGTTCTGCCTGGGCCATTGAAGAGTCTGTTTCTCTTGTCCCTCAAATACATAAAGCAAAGAGAATTGATTTCTTAACAAACAAAAGCTTACACCTCAAAAAAAAATTCGATAACAGTAAGATTGTTTTTTATCTTTAATTTAAGGAAATGAAAAAAGTGAAAATTTTAGGAAAGCCAGGGATAAATTTAGTTCTGGGCATTAGCATGTGCTGTTTTTTGATTTCATCACCTACTCATTACCATTAGATATGCAAGCTCTTTACTATATACAGCCTTTGTCCTTGAAAGCTTAAGGGCAAATCATACAAAGGATTCATATATTTGGTTTGCAGAAGAGGGTGAAAGAAAGGTGAAGCAAAGAGCTTTTTCTCTATAGTCATATGAGTTGGGCCGACTGGACAGCACACAATAATAACAACAATGTAAACAAACAAATATGTTGCTTAATGATTTATCATGGTCAGAATTTTTGTACCATATTTTTGGTAAAAATTAGTAAACTTACCATGCTTGTCCTACAGTAAAATTCTTTCTTATTTAGTAGCAATGCATTATAATTAATAAGAGTTCTTTATAATTTATCTTACTCATGGGTATATTACAAGGATAACAGAGAATGTTTATGAACTGTGTGGAAGAATTCGTAAGAAAAAAGCTTTGTAAACTGGAAGCATTGTGATGAATATTCATAATTATAGTATATAATTCATAGCACTGGAAAGAAGGGTTGCTTTTTAGTCCTCTCCTTGCTTCTGCATTTATTTGGGTCTCTGGGGAGCTATAATTTAAATAGATATTTTCAAGGAGATTTGACACTCTGTATTTTCTACTAGCATTTTATTATTCTCTCCTTTTCTCACATTACTTCTCTTTTCATTTCAAGGAAATTCTCCACTATTCCAACCTCACACAATGTTTTGCTCATCTTTGCTCAGTCTCAGCCTTCTCCTCATTTGTTAGGTGTCCCTCCCTCCCCTTCTCTGCACTCATCTATTCTGTTTACCTGTGCTAAAATCAACTGAACCTTCTGAGCTCAGCTGTGCTTAAAGGTTTAGGAAGTAAATTATAAGGCACAACTATGCAAAGGAAAGAGCAAATGACAATGTTTGCCATTTTAAAAGCCTACTCTATACATCGTACCTTGGCAGGAGAAGTTCTGTTCAGTTGGTTGAGTTTGATTTGTGTTTCTTTCAACATGAGTTCAGCTGGAAGTAGAAGCACGATAGTTATAATAGTGAAATACTTTGAATCAATTATAAGTGAGCGTTTTCCATGAATACAACCATGAACAGTGCAAATAGCATACAAATCATAATACTAGAAAACCCTATGCTTCTTTCTTAGCATCCCAAGTCTAGGTAGCTGGGCTGGGCTCCTCTTAGTCATATAATGTAGGAGCTCTGGTGGCGTAGTGCCTGAGGCATTTGACTGCTAACCAGAAGGCTGGCGGTTCAAACCCAGCAGCCACTCCTCAGAAGGAAGGTTGGGCAATC